TGCATTTTATTTCTGAATTTGTTTAATATAATAATAATAATCATGCAAAGATGTGTTGTCATTGCAATTTTATTATTTTTGCTTCTTGTAAATAATAAGAATCAGGTTATGACAATACAAATACTTCTATACACAATATTTTATATATTATACTCCATATAAATATTTTACAGTGGTAGTTATTACGAATAGGTTTTAAAAATTTTATTACATTCGTTATAACTCTTACGATTATGATAGTATGGTAATTAATAGCGAAAATAATGTAACTAACTATCAATTATTATACACGGAAGGCACACGGTGGGCGTGCTGGCACAGTCCGTGCCGGCTTCACAGTCATGAAATCCCGAGTTCGCCTCTAGGTGTTGTACTATTTTTCAGCTAATTTTTCATTATAATTTTTTTTAAGTGACAGGTTTATCTTTAGTCGTCAATATCTGCGCCTATACAAATTTTATGATAATTCATAAATAACAAAACGTATACATACGAGAGTGCATGATGAAAAAGAGAAGGAGAAAGGAGTCGGCTAGCGAAATCTTAATTTGACTAAGAAGTGTGAACCCCCCACTCCTTATGAAATTATAAAAGTATCAAATAGTAGCGATTATTCGACTGGACAGATGGGACACCTTGTATATATATTGTTAGCTTTATTAAATTTGTATGGTCATACATGAAAGTAGAAATTTGCGTTGATTGTTTAGCCGAGTGCACTGATCTTCGTGAAACACTAAAAATTATGAATATTGATTTTACTTTGCAATAGAAAACAAGTAAAGCTTGCAATGCCCGATTATATATCTGATCTATTCGATAAGTGCACTCGTTTTCGGGGGGCACCACGAGAAGGCAATCAACACCACCCCCCGTGAAAGCGCAGCTCTGGGAGCCTCCGACAATTAGCCGGGAACGACTTTCGTTTTGATATGTAACAAACATAAGAAAATAACGAAGCGCAGCTGAAATAGTCGCCGGTACAGTGCCCGGGAACGACTTCGCGAATAATGCTCAATCGAATCGCAACTCAAAGAGCCTCCGACAAAAGTCGGGTACAATAAATCAGAGACCTTTCATTTTTTGCAACTTTATACATTTTTTATGTGCTCTGTTGATTGACCTCTGCAAACAATCAGCCCGATTGTTAAATTTGGTTTGAGCGAACAACTTCACTTTAATCATGAAGTGTAGCAGCTCCACACGATGCTCTCGGCATTCATGCTGTTCGTCAAACCAGTCAATGTACAGCTGTGAAGTCTGCTTCATAATCTCGCTCCCAAGATCAATAATGCTGGTGGATACCCAGTGCTTTTTCCACAATCGACCGAAATTTTCGAGTTGAACTCCGACGATGCTTTCAAACTTTTCGGTTGGCCGGCTAAGCCATGTCACAGCTGGAGCATCAGCATCTTCGTGTTCGTACTCTTGAAATTCCGTATACATCTCGGTAGGTGAACGTTTCTCCATAGGTGTTTTCAATATGTCCCTGCGACAATAATCGCACGGATACTTACGCATTTGGCGCTGAGCTATGTATCCAGCGAAATAATTTATAGCGACCTCTGATACCCAGTTGCGCACGCTACTCTTCGAAGGAAACGAAAAGCCTGCGTTTCCCAAACGCGTATACGCCGATGCAGAGTAGTAATACAGCTGCTTCGCAAGGTCTTTTTCCTCCTCCGAGTAAGGAGCTCTGTTGCGATGCAACTGCAATTTCACCATCGTTCGCGCTGCGGGTTCCGTGCATTTGTGGCGATCGAGGAAGTCGTCAACAGACCCTTGTTTTGCCTTCCTTGCGAGGTGCCCGTTTTTTAACCACGATCGCTTTAACCTCTGCCGAAGTACACGGACCGTATTTTGGTACACCAAATGTTTACGTTTCAGCGCCGGATTACACTTCTTCAGATATCCTATCTGTTTATGAAGACTGTCAGTCATTCTTTGTACAGTCTCTGGGGTAGGTGGTTCGAAAGTAGGGGTAGTCGACTGGGCACTCTTTTCGATGTTTCTCCATGCACACTCTTCGTCATCCGCTTCGCAAAAGTCCAACACTACTCTTTTATATGCACGGACATGCTCCGAAATTAAAAACTTCGGGTTTGCGGCGGTGCTTATGGATGTACCAATTAAGATATCTACCGATGACGTGGACGGAGTACAATTTGGTCCTTCAGCGGATTTATCGCCCATTAATAAATGCGATTCGACCGAATGCAAAGGTTCGACAGCCGCGAAGGTACTTACCGCTGCGCATCCTTCCAATGCCAGGGGTGCTTCTTAGATCTCCGTCGTTTCCATCGAAAGGTGAATCGTTCGGACGAAGGCTTTGGGAACCGCGTCGCAAGACAGACGCCGATTTTCGCATATAAAACAGCTCGGTTCGCAGTGTTCCTCGCATAATCCACTACTTCGAAGAGTGGATGGCGCCAACACTTTCAGCCGCTCGTCACCTACAACGTAAGAGAGCATTTTAAATTTCTCATCACCAGGAAATCTCAGAAATGGTCGAGCCGCCATATAAAATAATATCACAGAAATATTTTCCAAAAGCCTTCAATCGAAATGGAAAACATTGAAGAAATTACTGCCGGGTTTGCTGCTGGGCTGCTGACGCATAAGAGTGACTGTGGAAGGTATATAAAAGCCATATTGAATCGTTAAGTATAATATAAAAAGTATAAATAAATAGTTCGAAAATACAAGCAAACTACCGACCGACAGGCTTGGTCGGAAGAATCAACAAATCTTGCCATTAGATTATTGTAAAACGGAGAAAACTAGTTCTTATTTATAAAAAATTATAATCGATATTAATTCGTAAACAAATGGAAAATAGTTTTTGTTTTGTCAAAAACAATTATTATTTCGAGTGTCCCGTCTCGTCTCGGTAATTGTCCCGTTCAGCCCTATGCCTGTGGCGAAACGGGACAAATGCATAACTTCTTACTTTTATTTTCTATTCATATATTACATATATATGTATTTTAACATCTCTCCACCTACCACCGCGCATCGTCTAGCCTGTCACTGCCTACTACGCCAACATCATTCCCGTACTCGCTACCCGATCTTCATTCTGCCTTTTTCATAACGACAGAAAACATGGTAAGCTTTCTTTTTTTTTACATAGCACATAATAATGTCGAACGAAATCTAATGATATAATAATAAATAAATTTTGTTGTTTTTCGCAGGCTGAAAAAAAAGATGAGACGACGTTTGAATGTGAGGTGGAGAAGCTGGCTGCCCTCGTGGAGCATAGCGAGTTGACGTAAGTTTGAAACTACAATTTATAAGGAATATAGCTTTCATGATCATTTTTTTATTGCCTGCAGAGATTCTGGGGCTGGGGCGAGTACTTCGGCGGCAGGACCTCAAACACTTAAGCCCATCAATGGCGAAGGGCAGGCAGCCCAGAGTAAGTAAAAATTATTTATAAATAAGTAATAACTACGATACATTGATTATATATATTTTTGATCTGTTTTCAGAAGAAAACAAGAAGCGTAATTGGCGTTGGAACCGCCGAGAAAGGAAGGCTCAGGCGGGGAACACAAAAAAATACCATGATCCAAAGGAATCAGGTAGAACAAAAACCCCTTACGGACGGGGTAAAAGGAGAAATACCACCCCTGACGGCCCCGAGCGGGCATTGAGGGTAGTACTCGATGCGCTACTGGATCGTTTTAAATAGAATTATAAGAAAAGATAAAAATAAATAGAAATTTTCAAGTTATACAATTTTTCCAAAGAGAATATTTAAAAATTTCATACGTAGAATGTCATTACATGACAAAATATTGGCGGAGCAATTGTTTTTTCACGTAAGCCGTTACGGTTCACGGAACGGGAGAGTCAGAACATGCTCGATCCTCCATTTCGTGATCCGTAAACTACGAAGACCCTAGCAACCGTCTTCCGTATTCCGTATTCCGTGCACCGTAACGGCTTACATAAAAAACAATTGTCCTGCCAATATTTTCATACGTGAAATGTCTCATTACCTGTCACCTGTCATTACCTGTCAATATAGCGAAATCTATAGACGAGGTCATTATCAATATCGTTAGAAAAATCAAATTTCTCTACGATAAAAGTCATCGTGACTTTAAAAATGAAGTAATGATTTACTTATCTAAATGAATAAACGTATATACAATTTTTTAAATATTTATATATTGACAGATAACTAAAGGTAATGACATTTCACGTATGAAAATATTGGCAAAAAATAACTTAATCGCTCTGTAATATTAGGGTTCAATCGATAGGATCTTTCCACCTTTATACAATCTACAATTGTTATATTCACTACAATAATTAGGAAGCAATATGTTTAGTTCTTAATAACTTACCAGCATTTTCAATCCATACAGCCAGTCGAGGATCGTTTTTCTTTGGGAATCTGTACAACCTGCAGTTCGTGGCTATTTTGCTTCTCATACAACCTCGATAGGCACAAAAATCGTACACTCGTTCCTTTGCTTTTTTATCCATACCTGATACTCTTATAATTATTTGCTGTTTGCTTCGAAATGTAGAGCGAGAAAAACAGCCACTTTCGAGAAGCAAGAAGCAAATGATGAAAACGCACGGGAGTCAAAACGAAGCATAAACTACCCATACAATTATCTGTAAAACATTACAAAAAAAAAAGTCCCTTGACTGTGAGGCTCCCCGAGCTGCGCTTTCACGTAGGGTAGTGTTGATTGCCCCCGAATTATTTAAATTATTAAATTATTAAATAATAAAAACAATATAAGTTATTAAATTTTAGCGCATAGACATAGGCAAAATGGTCGGCTGAAAGAAAAAGATAGCGACTGGTGGTGGCAAAGCCCTATCTTCTTCTAACCAGCAGCCGTAGTACGAGAGTATAGAAAACATAGGCAATGGGAACATTAGAAAAGGAGAACGATTGGCCGCCACCTCATTTCCTCTTTCGCATAGACATAGGCAAAATGGTCGGCTGAAAGAAAAAGATAGCGACTGGTGGTGGCAAAGCCCTATCTTCTTCTAACCAGCAGCCGTAGTACGAGAGTATAGAAAACATAGGCAATGGGAACATTAGAAAAGGAGAACGATTGGCCGCCACCTCATTTTCTCTTTGTTTATTTGAGCGGACACTTTTTCAAAGGATCTAAGGTAGGAATCGCGTAGTCCACACTATATGTATGTCAATAGCCTGGACATACCCATGTATTGTGTGCCTCGCGATCCTTATATGGGGAATATATGTCTACATATAGCATTTCATTGGGTAAAATTCATTTGCAAGTGGCTTTTTAATGCGGTTTTGAAGATTCATGAAAATTCCGAGTTCCTCCTTCTACCTATATTTTTTATATGCTGTTTTCTGTGGAACGTATCAACGGCATAAAAATAGACACGACTGTATAATATAATAAAATGTATATAGTATAGTATAATCATGCATTTGCTACATTCCAAGTTAATTAATAGATTCAATAAGCATTGTTCATGAATAAAAAAAAATTAATAATAATCGGGTCTCGAACCCGAGACTCTCGCACGTTGACTCGTTACCATGCACGTATGATAGTTAGTTGCCGTGACGTATAGATTGGGAAAACTGTATTTCAGTTGTTATACACATTTGGAGTTTGCTTAGAGTAGTTTGATACATACGCTTGACCAATCAAAAACGTGGGTATAGTTCGACGGCCCTCCGCTCAGGTGGCGCGTTTACTCCAAAATAAAATTGGTTTCAAGAATATCGTCCCATTGGCAATCTCCCTATTCATCTTTACGAACATCGTTACGAAACACTTGAAGGTATTACTACGGACCGAAAAATAACAAAATTTTCAATGTAAGATTTGAACAATCCAGCGTCAACTTTTGAACTTGTACAGTTCACTTACACACGCCCATCCCTGCATCGATAGGCGCACACTAATGTACATTGGATATAGTAGTGTATACGTATATACACCGAATACAGTCTCAAACGCAATGTTGCCGTAACGCTCTTTTGCCTAGCCGTCGTACGAGAGATTTCGTAATAAATATCGAACTTCTTTCATGTCTATCAATAAATTCTATGAGGAAAAAGTTCTGACTAAAAATCTAAAAAATTCCTAATTTTTTCCTTTGCCACATACTAGTTTTTCATCGAAATTACGCGAACGAGTCAAATGCAATAAAAAAAACCATGCGCGTTTTATTGGCCAGGTATAGGGAATACGTGTTACGAGTCCTGACTTTAACTCGGAAATACTCGGAAACTGATGAGTGAATCGTGTTAAAAATTTCTAGAGAGATGTAGTGCTATACAAATTAGACGTAAATCAAATTTCAGCTCGATTACGTGGTTTTGAGTTTACCGTAGTAATACCTTAAAGTATTTTTTAAAGACAAAACAAATTTTCGAAAATATGAAAATTTCACAGTAGCCTAACTCCTGAAGCGTGACACATATGAGTAAAAACATATCAAACCGGAGACCTTTTTTCATCGATCCTTTCGATTATTGTGAATATTTTTTAACGGATTCTATGGGTAAAATAAATTGTTTAAACAATTTTTTTTTATCTTCAATATTTCAAACGTTATTCCAAGTTGATAATTTCCCAAAATGCCAAAAACCGCCACACACGCTCTCCTTCAAATATTCATATCGTAGGTTCTATTTGTCTGATCAATTTGTCCCTGCGCTCATTCAAAAGAGCTGAAATTGGGCTTCCATTTCATGCCGCTACACATTTTATTATAGCAACAATTGAAGATTGTTATAAATATTTAATTTTCAAACATGATTTTCATCACCAAAACCACGCTGTAAAATTAGGAAAAAAATACGAGCGTATTCCTTGATAAACTTTCTATAAGATAGATGAGTTTCAAATTGGAGGATTAATGGAGAGTATTTTTCAGATATTAATATTCGAACGAAGGCACGCCAGCGTGGCGTTCAATGCAGGTAGATAGTCCCAACGCATGTTCCAGTCTAGTGGGGTCTCTGAAAAGGACCCTCTCACATAGCGGACCCTTCGGGGAAGGAGAGGGGGGATGTTGTTCTACAGGCCATGAGTAATGTGAATTTATTTACATTCAGTACCGTTACGAAGCTCGTGCAAGTAACAACTGCTCTGTGATTTCATAATTTAAAACAAAATATTCAATCTTTAAAAGTGCCTCGAATCAAATATGTCACTAAAAAGAAAGTATTACGATTCTTGTTTCAATCCTTTTGGATTGGAGAACCACGGGAGACAGCCTATAAAAAATTAGGAACAGTACTTCCGGCGATATTGGATTAATTGGGCATTAAATACAAGGTTCTAACAACAGATTACAAAATTTGCGACAACTGCCGAATACAAATCCCCAAAGTTTCGATAACCACTGAGAATGAATCAAGTGGCAGTTCTAAAGGAAATATTGAAAAGCTACACAGTTCGCATACACTATATTCGTCAAGAGAGGACTCGTCACCCACTCGAAGCTCAGTTAACCTCACGAAATTGAATGAAAGTCTGTCCAATTTTGGAGAATCACCAATCGACCAAAGGAAGTTGACCCAAAAAAAGTATCCGCCAAAAAAATTGGAACAGCTAAAAAAGACACTGGCTACGAGCGTATTTGATATCGATGAAATCAATATTGACAATGAAAAGGAATCAGAAGATGACATTATAGAAGTATTAAAAAACGATTTTCAATCCACCACAGACCGCAGCAGAAAAATTCAAATATTAACTATTTTCCACCGTTGATCGTTCGATAAGATTCATAAACATTTCGCTACTTCTAACTCGATGATTACCACAGCAAAGGCTCTTGCGACAGAACGAGGTATCTTATCCACACCGAATACGAAGGCTGGACCTATTATATAATATCGAGACGAAGCATAATTATAATGATACTATATAATAAATAAAAATATAATCATATAGTTACAGCACTTATATAAATTTGGAATAAATAGTATTTTAGATGTAACTTTGATATAGTATTAAGAATTCATATCATGTAGTTGTATAATACAAAGAGTACAATAAACAATTTAAATCAACGGAATCTGTTAGGTAATGAAATATATTGGTTTTCAATTAACATCCCACACAGCACAGAAATATTTTATCAACATTGCGAAAAGTTTCCCTTGAAATAATGCAATATTACGGAAATATAGTGAAAGATGTTTAAAATATTTCTGGAATGTTGCAGGAACCTTGCATTGTCCGCTCAGCACGTTGCAATCATAATATTGCTATAATATTGCCGGTCAATATTTCGGAAGTATCAATGCATAATATTAATAACATATAACCCAGATAGCACCTGCGTATTGCTAAAATGTATTGCAATATTATTGCAATATTTCTTGAATATGCTGTAATCTTACACCGTTCACTCTGCTGCAAAATATTTCAGTATAAATGTCGTATTAATGATACGACATGTAAATGATAACAATGATGCATTAAGCGGCTGAGAATAAATTCCAATGCCAGCAATGTATCGTGGGTTTCTTTGGGCAGGTTGCCTATACCTCCTTAAATATTACCTCGGTTGTATTTTTAAATACTCTATACAAATGCAATAATTTCACATGTAATTTTTACATGCAGGATACAAAACTATATATCGACGGCGAATACGGAAACCGCAAAATCGACCGATTAATTATTTACCCGGTCCTACGTTTTTTCATGCCAGTTGCCTTGGCCACCTAGTGGCGCGGCAGCGAACTAATGTTCGCTCGGATACTCCGTGTCTGGTTAGGGACTCTTGTCACAGAGTATACCGAAATTTCTAGTCGGTTATGAATTTATCGATACCATGTAGATAAACTATTTCTATTCAAGTATTGTAATTTTCAGTCCTGAATGTATGATTGCATTACGGTTGATTGAAAATTCTTCAACCTCTTATTAATAATCAGAGTCGAATATATTATATTCGCTAAACGCATAATAAAATTAATGCTTGATTACAATTTTACAAAACAATGTACATTAATACTCATTTGCGTTACCTATATTCTAA